AACCACACCCCCCCTCCCCCCTGCCCTCTTTGAAGATTCTCAACTACTTTCAGCCCAATTCAACACATATTTACTACATGAGAGAATAGTACAAAACAGAGGAAATTAAGTAAACATTGGCACTTCTCAAAAGCCATTTCTTTTAGTGTGATCTTTTCTTTTAATTAGTGAATCCTTGCTGCTTGCTACAGAGAAGGGTCAGGATATGAGTAAAACAGTGTTTCATTTTCTTCCTCTCCTGTCTTCCTGTATACATCCATCTTCTTTTTTTTAAAAAAATCCTCACGTGAGGATATGTTTTCATTGATTTTGAGAGAGAGAGAGAGAGAGAGAGAGAGAGAAAGAAAGAAAGAAAGAAAGAAAGGAAAGAAAGAAAGAAAGAAAGAAAGAAAGAAAGAAAGAAAGGGAAACATTGATGTGATCATTTGGCTCCATATGTGCCTGGACCAGGGATGGAACCTGGAACCTTTTGGTGTACAAGATGATGCTCCAACCAACTGACCCACCCAGCCAGGGCTCATTCATCTTATTCTTATGAGATATAAGTAAGAATGTTTACTCCTGCCAGACACTCTGCTAGGGGTTTCCTGTTTATAATTCTGTCATCTAAAGGTGGCATTATCATGCTTATTTACAGACAGGAAAGGAACCCTTAGGGAGGTGAACTAAGACAGCTGGTACGAGATGGAACTGGTATCTGTTTTTGAACTGGTATCTGTTTGGTTCTGAGCCCACTCATATATTGCCTTCCTATTCTCTAGGTTTCTAACCATGTTTCCTTTTTCCTTCAGCAATTTTTCTTTCACAATCTTCCCCTCCCCCATGCTTTTAAAAAATATATTTTTATTGATTTCAGAGAGGAAGGGAGAGGGAGAGAGAGACATCAATAATGAGAGAGAATAATTGATTGGCTGCCTCCACATGTCCCCTACTGGGGACTGAGCCCGCAACCTGGGCATGTGCCCTTGACCAGAATCAAACCTGGGACCCTTCAGTCAGACGTTGTATCCACTGAGCCAAACCAGCTAGGGCCCCTCCCCCATGTTTCTACTCTCCTCTTTTTATTCCTGGAACCTGCTCAAGCAAATCTTTCTCTAGCTTTTCCCAACTCTTTCCTGGCAGATCCAGCTGCCATCTAGTGACTGGTTGCCTCATTTCTCCAGGGAGGAGTTGGTGGCCTTCCTTACTCCTGAGGAGAAGGCAGCAGTGTTGATCTAAGGAGGGCTCAGGACAGAAACCATTCTGCTGGCACCTCTTCTTTCCTGGTGAAGCTCAGAGCCAGTTCTCCATTTCCATCCCAATGCCACGCTTCATGGCTAGTTACTCCAAAAGCCTCTTAGATTCCTCTGATCTCATCCTTAAATAGCTACATTGCTGAGTGCTAGATTATTGCAAATGCTCACTTTCCCCTTATTCTGAGGGTCCCTTTAGCCTGTGCATCAGCAATTTTTCAGTGAAATAAAGTAAGACTCAAACTGGCTTAAGCAGAACAGGAATGAAAGCAGTAACCACAGAGGCCAGAGATAGGACAGGCTTCAGGAGCCTTCATCTGGGGTAAGTGCTGGGACCTGGACCCAGTTTCTCTTTCACCATTTCTCTGTGTCACCACCACCATCCTCATGTAGGCTCTCCATCATGATCTAAAGGTGGTTGCCAACCACTTAAGGTTACATGCGTCCTACGTCAACTTCAGACAGAATGTAAAAATATTTAAAAAAATATTTTTATTGATTTCAGAGAGGAAAGGAGAGAGAAAGAGATAGAACTATCAATGATGAGGGAGAATCATTGAATGGCTGCCTCCTGCACACCCCCAACTGGGGATTGAGCCTGCAACCTGGGCATGTGCCCTTGACTGGGATTGAACCTGGGACCCTTCAGTCTGCAGGCTGATGCTCTGTCCACTGAGCCAAACCGGTCAGGGCAAGAATCTATTTTTTAAGGAGTCCTTATTATTATTTTTTAACCCTCATAACCCATGGATACAGACAATAGTGTGGTGGAGGCTTGGGGCAGAAGGTGAGTGTGGGCTAGAAGGAGTTAATAGGGGGGAAAAAAGGGGGACATATGTAATACTTTCAACATAAAGATTAAAAAAAAAATCTTGGACTGGGCTATGTGCCCATTCTTGGACCAATCTTTGTGGCCTGGGGAAGAGAAATGCTGGTTACTTTAAGCCAGTCCGGGCTCACCCACGGACCTGGGAGTAGACTCAATCACATATTGTGAAGTGGAGACAGAGTCACAGAAACAGAGAACAGACTGACAGCTGTCAGAGGGAGGGTGCTGGAGGCTGGGTGAGGAGGGTGAGGAGATTAAGTAAAGAAAAAAGATTCATGGACATAGACAACAGTGTGGTGATTGCTAGAAGGTGGGAGGGGCGTGGGGGTAGAAGAAGGTAAAGGAGGGATAAATGGTGATGGAAGGCTTGCCTTGGGGTGGTAAATACAATACAATATAGTACAGATGATACATTGTAGAATTGTATACCTGAAACCTATATACTTTTATTAACTAATGTCACTCCAATAAATTCAATTTTTAAAAAATCCCACATTGTGGAAAATATCAGGGTATTATTTGAAAGGTGAGGGGAAGGGAGAAGAAACAAATTTAATTTTCTCTCTTCCTTCTTCCCTCCCTCCCTCCCTCCCTCCCTCCCTCTCTCCCTCCTTCCTTCCTTCCTTCCTTCCTTCCTTCCTTCCTTCCTTCCTTTCTTCCTTCTCGTCTTCCCAATGATTCTAGTGTCAAGCCTGGGCTCTACATTGTACTCTACCACCAGCCTAATAGTCTTTTTGGAAATACTGCTATCATCTTATACCTCCACTGCTCAGTTATCTTCAGTGGCTCCCCGTTGCTTTCCATCCTCTTTCACTCATGGCATCTATGGGCATCTGTCATATTTTTACATCATATTCGTCATATTTTTACTAGAACACCTGGAGAATAGAACACTGAGCTGGGTCCCTAGAGGAAGGAGGGGATCAGGAGCTTAGCACATTGCTTACCTATTCTAGGAACATCTGGGAAGCTCTGGTTTATAAAATGAAGTTTAAACTTTGTTTTCTGGCTCTTTGGGATCTGACTTGAACTTTCACTGCACTCAATGAACAAATATTTTTTGAGTTTCTACTATGAGCAGATTATCATCAGGCACTAAATATTTTAAAATGGGCCCAAACTTAATTCCACCTACTATTTTTCAAGAACACTTTGTATTAGCAAGTCTGGTCTACACCCTCTGAAAATTGTCCTGCACATCCCTTTCTCCATGGTTCTGTTCTTGCCTCTTTCCACCCACTAAGCTCTCCACCTCTCTAAATCCCAGTTCTCCTCTAAGGCAGTGGGGTCATGGATGTCTGGATTGCTCAGTGCAGCAGCATCAAAACAAAGTTAAGAACCCCAAATAAAGTACCAACTTAGTAATTTTTCAAGTAAAAACAGACCTTGGCAAAAACCAGAGTCAGTTTTTATTATTTCATAAAAGAAGAATATTTTTAGCACCA